ATGCCAATATACAGTATTGTATCCGTAGTCACACCACTTTTGACAGTAGGTGGCAGTGTGGGTTTGTTGTTTACTCCAGGGACTGTAGACGGGAGCGCACGCACCGCTATTTCCTCATAATGGCGGAGAACATCGAAAAGAGGAAACACGTCTCCCTGTCTTATGATTTCTTTCCTGTATTACAGGTTAGTGTTGAACAAGAAAACCCCACAAAACTGCTAGAGTCAATAAGCAAATGTTGAGTTATGATTCAAGGGTGATGGTAGAGTGAAGCTAGGGGAAAATGGTTCTGTGTATTCGTGGAAAGTAAGCTAATGCCCACCGAGAGCGATAGTAATGGCGGTGGTACACTCGATCATTCTCTTAAATAGCATGCTAGCTACAAGATACTAAGTGGGCCACACGCCTCCTCTTAAGTTCACAGGTCATCTGGCTCCGTGTTTAGTCTGTTTTGTTAACTTGCTAGAAGGTGTTGTTTTTTTCCAATGATTTGGTTACTGACACAATTGCTTATAAGTCCAAGTCTTGCTAGATAGTAAATTTATGTTAGTGCATTGAGAGTGCAATTATAGTCAAACTATACTCGAAGAGTTAACCATAGAGAAACAGTTTTGGACCAACTAGTGACATGAAGTTGTACTGTGTGTATTGACTTGTGTGGCTATGTAAAGCCAAGAAACCTGTATAAAGATACAGCTGAAGTACAGTAGTTATGATACTGGAAAAAAGAGACAATGCACTGTGTTCAGTGAACTGATGATGTTTATGAATAAATAATGGCGGAGAACATCAAAAAGAGGAAACACGTCTCCCTGTCTTATCATTTCTTTCCTGTATTACAGGATACATACATCTGCCTACAGGTGTTATATTCTGATACCTGTAACATATACAGTACCTGTTGGGGCCTGAGCAGGGGAGGACAGGCCTTCAAGGTGGGCGCTCTCAGGGCTGGGGAGCCCTGTGCCAGTACAGAGCGAATCCCGGCGAGCGGGACACTCCTCAAGCATGTCAGCCTCGCCAACAACATGGTCACAATATATTATCCTATATCAGTATAAAACGTAAACATCCCGTCAGGTAACGTTAACTAACAGCATTTAAACTGAGAGTCGTGACATCATACTTTTCTCTTTATTATCTGTAAAGGCAAGAGTCACAAACCAGTTAAGCATAAACGTTATTGCCAAGTATCGTCAAAAATACAAGTGGCAAATACATTTGACTCCAGCCCAATGGTCTCCGATGTGCACAAAAAAATAATAAATATAGTCATAAGTCATAAGGCTCAAGTAATGTAGCAATAACTGTCCAGTTATTGAAGTAAATAAACTTTGACATATTTCACGTTAGTTACCTATACTAGCAAACCTTAGCTAGTTAACACGGCATATATTAATTGGCTAACGACTCATTTAGCTAACAAGCCTTTTGGAAACCGTAGATATTCTGGTTTTAATCTTTTAAATAAAACTATTCTATACCAATACATCTTCGGTTGTATATTAATCAACTTACAAATAGGCAGCAATAAGCTAAGGTTACATACCGAGAGCAGGGTCGTTGGTTCCTTCACGTTTTTGCAAAGAAGTACGCAAGTCTCTGACGCAATTGTTTTTCAACATTCTTGAAAAGTCTATATGTACGTCATCATTAAGCGACAGAATTAATGGGAATTGTAGTCCTTCGACAGTTCTTTCTCTCCTAATACAACAATGCCGATGACAATCGGCATTTTATAATCCTATAAAAAGTAAATGACAATTACCAAAAAATAAAACAATTAATTACAATCACCGTATGTAATAATATCTGTAAAACATCACCTAAATTCTATGATATAAAATACAGTAATATACTATAAATAATATTATATAACTCATAATATGTAGCTTTCTTCTCTGCACCTAGAAGTCTACGGGACGCACAATGTGGTTTTCTCCACTAGGTGGGGCGCTTGCCTCTTCTTTTGTTCTCAGTAACTACTAAAACATTAAATTGGCCTAAGTAACAGCAGTTTCAGGCCAACACTGCCCTTTACCCCAAACACACACCTGCTTTACGTTTATAAAGTTTATTATCCGTTAATAAAAACTAAAAACTGGGGGTCCGTGAGGGGTCATGGCAGTGCGCCCTCTGCCTGAGGTGCGTACAAAGACAATGCCCTATTAAGGCCCAGGACGCCCCCTGCCCGAGGCTCCTCTTTTTGGACCAAAGCTTCCCATATGATTCATTGAATCGCACCGGGCAACATGATTCCATCTGATCTACAGGTTTCACTTATTCAGACTAGTCCGGCTGCATCTCTTGGATTTGATTGTTTTCTGTCACAAAATTGAAGTTGTCTCGGAAAATAATGCAATTCACTTCCGTCCGGAGTCCTCCTGGAAGGAAGGCTGATCAACTTCACGGATGAACCGTAGCGGGACGCTTTCAGACCTGAGCTCATCATGATGGTGAGTACGGAGTGCAGGCAACCGTTGCCTATAAATTAAAATGACACTTATTTATTTAGTTGTCCTTATGGCCGACGTTGCCCCGCTTTATGGAAAGCTTAGTAGCCTATAATAAAGTTACAGGTGTGGCTGACATAAGAGTAACTTATGGGAAAGTGGCTTTCTATTATGGCTCTTTGTTTTTTATTAATAAAGTGTGAGTTCGGGTCAAACGGTCCAAAACTATTTTATCAGCAAGCACGAATTTCACCTGCACTCTTAATGAAACCTGTTGCCTGCATGCCATAAAATGACTCGAGCCACCATGAAATTATTTATAATACAATGTTTCTAGTCAAACGGGTATATTGAATTTTTTTTTTTGGCAAACTTAATTAGTACTATTAATAACTTTCTCAAACAAAAATATTGGGGAAAGTTTAACGACTTTTCTAAATGAGTGTATTAAATGAGTGCATTCATTAAACTGCTGGTAACCAACTCTGATGATAGCAGATAATTCCCACTGAAAGGGGAGACAGCCATCAATTCAATTGACCAGAAATAGACTTACCTTGTTTTCTTTTGGGAAATTAGCACAATTCACATTCAATAATACACTTTCATATGTCCTGATATGCATACTTTTCAAGGTACATATAATTTGTAGCACTATACTGATGTATAGGCAAAGTGTATAGCATAGTACATTTTCTGTGTTTGGCTAATCCAGTTAATGAAATGCCTGAAAGTTAAGTATTTTATCTAGTTAATTTAAACAGTTTTACATTCATTCATTCATTTTCTACCACTTAGTCCCTGAACGGGGTCATGGGTGGGGCCGGAGCCAATCCCAGCCAGCAATCGGGCGAAGGCGGGGTACACCCTGGACAGGTCGCCAATCCATCGCAGGGCTAACACATAGACGAACAACCACACACACGCACGCACGCACACACTCCTATGGGCAATTTAGAGTCACCAATCAACCTAAGCTGCATGTCTTTGGTCAATGGGAGGAAGCCAGAGTACCCGGAGAGAACCCACGCAAGCACAGGGAGAACATGCAACAGTATGTAGTTTAATCTACAACAATGCAGCCAGTTTTATATGTTGATAATGTGTTTTCCTATGTAAAATCTTAATCTGCAAAAATGTAGTGGGAGTACAATGACAATGTTTTAAAGATTCACCAGCACAGAAAATTGACATCGCCCAACCCTGCTGCTCCATTATAGGAAATATTTAAGATTTTCTCTGTTTGTATATTGAGAAATATTGACCTTTAGTTATCACTTTGCTGACATATTGTATTTCAAAGAGGATCCCCAAAAAATCAAAGTGTAGGGTGATTTGCAAATGGATATTCTGTAAAATATGGTGCAGATCTGTACAGTGTACTTGCTATACAATTGCAAGCCCGATGGGTTTGCTTGGCTAGTGTTTAATTTGTTTTCACAAAGCTTTATATTAAATAAGAGTAGGCTATTAAAAGGATTTGTAAGAGGATGATAAATGGCACAGTGGTGGTTTTGTTATGAGCAGATGATCAAATGTGTCATATGCTTCAGTGGTTTGTGAATATTCAACAATGTCAGCTTGTGTGTACTTTTTTTTGCTTAACATAGCAGATGCAATAAGCTGAGATAATTGGTGTACATCTAATTTACCATATAAATGACAAAACCTCAGACCACTTATTTTTTTATGAATTGTTGATGTACTGTACCTTTATTTTAAATATATGTAAAACAGCCTAAATACATACTCAGTCTCAAAGAACCATACTGTAACATTTTGTCAGTGTTTGTTTGCTCGTCTTATTCATTAGGCCAAAAAATTGCTGGCGTTTGTCTAAATGTGTTCAGCTGCAAAATAAACAGCAGAACAAATATGCTGTTCTGTAACCTTTGAATTACTCACATCTTCTGTTACACAAGCTGTGACTGTACTGACATGATGCCAAATCACCACTGAGGGCTCAGTAACTTCCTCTGATGCAGCAGACTATCTGATCTGTTTTAAATAACTTGTAACATCAAGGGGATGAGCCACTGACCCTGTGATGTAAATGGCCTGGGGAGTTTATATTCTGTGGTCTCAGCCCAAACAAAGTTTAGAGCCACGCCCGGGTAAAGAGACCTTTGTGGTTGTAGCACTCAGCAGGGTGGTGCATACTTATTAATTTCACTATACATTGTTCCAGGTAACACTGATCTGTTGAAGCTGTGAACTTCCCATAGTTTGTCAGAGAATCTCACAGGCAGCATCCAACCATTCCCCGTGTTTACACTGCAGCCGTTCAGACTGGCTTCTGTGATCAAAACAGGCTTGGACAGAGGTCACAACAGAATGTGGGAACTCAACTTCTAGATGTGTTACACAGAAATTCAGGCTTATCAGAACACAGAAAGCAATGGTCACTTCCTACACAGAGCTACTCAGTCCGTGTCAAACATGAGGACCTTGCCTGAGTGAAAAAGCTGGTCTGTTGTTTGTGACACATTCAAGATTCATCTTGCTTTGAACTGACACATCCAGTAAACAAATGTTTTCCCAACCCCCAAAGGTCAAATTCAGGATTAAAAAAAAACCTTCATGTAGAACCTTGGTGTGCTTGCTTACATACTTTTAAATTTCTATTTGAACATGTTTTTTTAATGGGCACACATTAAAATTACACTCTACTGATTTCCTTAGGGTGGAGAGTCTCTCATTTACTCTTACAATGTTATTGACCAGTTCACTGGCAGAGGAGGTAGACAGGATAATCTTAAAATCCAAAGATTAGTCAGGGATCTGAGCCAAGCTGCTATCATCTTAAAAGTGATCTTACATTAATCTCTCAGAAATGTGCAAGATATCCCCAAATAGGCATCATTAAAGCTACCCTTAACTTCATTTGACTACCCACTGTCTGCACTTTACAGACTTACAAACATCTCCAGGCTCACAGCTCTACAATTTATGGCTCCATGATAAGCAGCCTTTCCCCCTCAATTTCAGCACTGTGTAGTTATACCTCTTAGCATTTGGACATGTGTCCCCTCAATGTCAGTCAGTCTTTAAGAAGCACAAAGGCATATTATGGGGAAGCACCAAGTCATTAGCCCATCACCAGATGGTCCACAGTTGCCCGTGTAGGCCATGCCACTGAGGACCTTTGTTGAAAAGATCTCCTCTAAGTGTTGACATGGAGGAGCAGCTGGCAGTCTGGATGACAGGCTGCTCTTTCAGTGGGAGTCAGGACTGTAACTGACTCAGATAATTCTAAGTCAGGAGGTTTCTTCCGTTAAAGGGAGTTTTTAATCCCCACCGGCGTCAAGTGCTTGCTTAAGGTGGAGAGTTTGTTGGGATTTCCTCTATAATAACAGTAAGGTCTAGACCTTCCTTTGTAAAGTGTCCTGAGACGACTTGTTGTGATTTGGAGCTATACAAATAAAACGGAATAAGCAAGCATTAGAGTGCAGTTGTGGAATTACAGTTTAATTTCATATTGCAATCTATTGCTCACATTTCATTTGTGCCCTTACAGTTTGTTTTCTGTTCATAAAAAAAAGGTCTACCAGGACTGACTCATAAATACAGCCTCTCTATGTGCACTAGCCTTCAGTCTTGCATGGTGGGTGGGCAGGTTCTTAAAATGCACTGGTACACTTAAAGATAACAAGGACTTCCTCATGGGAAGGACTAGTTTAGATTCCAGTACAAAGCACTCTGCTATTTTCTATTACTAACTTCTTAAGATATGATATTTTTGTCTCCGAGCATATGCCACCATCTTTGGGTTCTGCGGATTACAATACACTGATGCTTTGCACAGCCACAAATAAGGGAAGAAGAGAGTTATCAGAAGGGGAAGAACGTCAGTATCAGCAGCAGTACTCTGATTCAGCATCACACTGCAGGTTCATATATGGAACCACAGACTGTCAACTTCCCCATTTCAATGAGTAGTAAAAACATATATCTAGCAGTGTTCCAACAAAAAGATCTGACACCAAGTAGTTACCTACAGTCGTGCTGAAATGCGGAAAATGTGTAACTGACAGGTTGATGTTCATTTTATTTACAGGATGAAATGTTGCTTACAACGGTGAATACAAATAACTGGAAGGTTCTCTGAGAAGGTGACTGGAGTCTTGCAAGATTGGCAGAACCCATTAAGAAGCAACCTGTAAAAGCATATCCAGGCACGGCTACATCCGAGAATGAAGATCAAATATACACTACCCATTGTCTTTGTTGTGGCACTTGTTATCATTGAGAAGGAAAACAACATTATCTCAAGGTAAGTCCATTTCAGTGAAGTGTTTTTGTGATTTCCAGCAAGTTTGCCTATGTTTCTTTCTTCTGTGCTCTAAATGAATATTATACGAAAATGCCTTGAGCAACAAAGTTAAATAACAAGGATATAACTCCTGTATGATAAATTTGAAAAATAATATAACTGTGCTCCTCTCACACCTTCAGAGTGTCAGATAAGGTTGCCTTAAAGCAGACCCCCCAGAACCCTCTACAGTCCAGTGGTTTCTCCACCATATTGCTGAAGCAAAATGGTTCCTTGACCTCACCCAGCAGGATGAAGTCTGCCTTCACCCTGATGAAGCGGCGCCTGGAGAACTACAGTGTGCACCAGGAGGTGATGACAAGGGGCAAAAAACACATTCTCCTGCTGGCCACCACCAGGACGGGCTCCTCCTTTGTAGGCGAGTTTTTTAACCAGCAGGGTAACGACATGTTTTATCTGTTTGAGCCGCTGTGGCACGTGGAGAGGATGTTGACGCTGGAGAATGGAGGCACGAATGCTACAGCAGCAGCCAAAGCATACCGTGACGTGCTCCAGCAGCTCTTCCTGTGTGACTTCTCCTTGCTGGAGAGCTTCATTGACCCCCTCCCTGTGGACCACATCACCAATGCCCTCTTCCGCAGAGCATCGAGCAGTTCTTTGTGTGAGAACTCGGTCTGTAGCCCCTTCATTAAAGGAGTATTTGAGCCCTATCACTGCAGGACCAGGCGCTGTGGACCCCTGAATCTGACCATGGCATCCGAGTCCTGCCTTAAAAAGGAGCATAGGGCCATCAAGTCAGTGAGGGTGCGCCAACTGGAGACTCTCCGTCCTCTGGCTGAGGACCCACGCCTTGATGTAAAATTCATTCAGTTGGTTCGGGATCCTCGGGCTGTACTGGCCTCTCGCATGGTGGCATTTGCAGCCAAATACAGAAATTGGAAGCAGTGGGCCATGGATGGGGAAGTGCCCATTGATGATGACGGAGTCAAAAATCTGAAAGGTAACTGTGATAACATCAGGATGTCTGCAGAGATTGGCCTCAGGCAGCCACTGTGGCTGGGCAGACGTTACATGCTAGTGCGGTATGAGGATATTGCTCGGTTCCCCATGAGGAAGGCAAAGGAGATGTACAGGTTTACTGGAATCCCGTTCACGCCACGGGTGAAATCCTGGATCCTGAGGAACACACAGGCCTCCAAAGGCGCCAGTGGTGTTTACTCTACACAGAAAAAATCCTCAGAACAAGTAGAGAAATGGAGGTTCACTTTACCTTTCAAAATAGCTCAGGCTGTGCAGAAGGTTTGTGGACAAACACTGAAGCTTTTTGGATACAAATTTGTAAGCAGTGAAGAAATGTTAACAAATAAGTCTATTAGTTTGATTGAGGATAAAGTGTTCAACTTTTTATAGACTAATGGGCATGACCTCTGAACCCTGATACAGGAAAAGCCAACCTTTCTGAAAACTTGGCAACAACTGATATTTATTAGGGTCTCTTAGCCTGATACAGATATATATATTTGGTCTGTGTGCCATTTTTATTATTTAAAATAGTTTGCTGAAGAAAATGTATTGGTGAGCAGAAAATACATAAAAAGCTTTTAATTATTAAAGCAGGGGTGTTTTATTTTATATATGGGTATAACATGGTGACAGTAGGATGCTGCAGTATCTTTGTTTTTGCACTATTTTGTCTGTCCAACGCAAACTGTTGTTGGCTTGTCCCCAGATTTAATTCCTCAGTAAAATCCTCAAGGAGATAGCAGTGGGTTTGTGAACAATATTGAGCTGTTTCAAGATGTTTTTGGTCCAACAACTCCTAAGTTGACAACACAAGCTGCTTTTACATTAAAGAAACTTGAAATGAAAAGTAAAGCATTGCCAAAAAATTACTGCTTTGTACTGTTCATGCCAGGAAGAGGAAATATCTATGTTCTGCCATGTTACTTCCACATATATATATAATGTCACATGCTTATTTATTTATGTCTATGCTAATGACTCCAGATGTGAATGTGCTCTGCAGGTTCTTGCCCCTTTGCAGGTGTACTTTTCTTGCCTACACAGTGTACTGTAAATGCTGTATATGTTGTAACAGTACTTTATGTAAAGGCATGTTTTCTCTGCTACTGTATGCAAACATCTGAACTGCAGGTGGTTTGCAGGATTATGGTTCCTCTACATGCCTTTCTCAGTTTCTTGTGATGATGATAAAGATGATAAAAAGAGGAATCAACACTGTGGCCTGAGACAGTTTGCTGATGTTCCCCTATGTTATTTTTGCATCTTCCTGATTACAATAAACCATAAAACATCTCACTTTTAGCTATGAGGCACTTTTAAAATTGTGAAAATATTGCATCTGTAACTGTAACTTATCTGGAAGAGATTTACATCCAAGTGATATTTGTACAGCTTCCACATTGAGTCATCAGGTATTGTTTTTAATTATCACATAGGTTAAGCAATGACAGTCAAACAGAGATAACAGGTGGTGTTAAATAAAAAAAAGAAACACTTGTCTGTACAGTGCACAGTTCCCCTGCAATAAATAATACCTTTGTAAAGCTTGAAAGGGACACAACCACTTCAGTCACTTCTGGGGGTGGGGGGTTGACTTAAGCCCATCTTTGCCAGTGCAGTTACACCAAGCACAGGAACTGTGGAGGCACAAGCAGATTCAACAATAAGAAAACACCCTTCACAGATTATTTGTCAAACAACACTACTGATTCCAACCTCAGACATGACCATAGTTGAATCAACATGTCCCTGACTCTGTCTCAAACAAGACTAAAAGTCTACAGCCAAGCCAGCAGCTCTGTGAGGCTGTACCTAAGCATGGTGGTGCTTTAAGGGAAATGGTGACATCAGCATGCTAACATGTTCACAGTCACAATGTTAACATGCTGCTGTTTAGGCAGTACAATGCTGGCCATGTTCACTCACTTATTTTGGTATGTTAGAATGCTAACATTTGCTACTAATCAAAAAACACAAATATTTGGTCATTTTGGTATTTGGTACTGATCAAACTGAAAATGTAACCTAAGATGAAAAGTGGTACATAAAAAATGAGCTTAATATGAACCTCATGGCTCATGAGGTTCAGTCATGGGACCATAAATATCAGTACCAAAATTCATGACAATTGTAATAGTTAAGATATTTCAGCCTAGAGCAGTGGACCAAATGACACTGCCCTTGAACCATACCACTAGTATGCAGTATTATAAAATTTAAAAATGTAGCTTTTGTTACAGGCCTGTTGTCTTATACTGCACTGAACTATAAGGGGTGAGATCATGTATCATTTAGACCACCAAAATCTGAACTCCTAACCTTTTTACTGTTTTTTTTTGAGTGGTTAACTGAAGTGTCTCTTTGGTCTTATCTAAGCCAAATGTTTAAGTGTTCTACACACTGACTCGTTTGTCTCTGGAGATGCAAGAGAGGACAACGTGGAGGCAGCTGCCACAGTTTACCACTGTGGCTCCAGCTATTTATGTCTCCAAACCTAGTAATTACCCCAACTTTAAATACAATGTGGTCCAAGTCATTTTTGTCCACCTGACCCCACCCACCTGCAGAAATGCAGAGAGGCTGTGGTTTCTCCAGCTTAATTCTCTTTTTACACTAAATAGTGACTTTTTTAGTTTAACATTTCTTAATTAAATAATCTGTGCTCTCACGCACTGCTAAGCTAAGTCACCTCACTTGAAGTACATTCATATCAGCAAATTATTATATGGTCACTTTGGGCTGGTTGTTCTGTTTTCGTAAAAAGTGTGGCCAGGTCTGCAGTGTGTGAGTGGAAATCCAATGACAAGAGGTTTAGCAGGAAGAGTAGCTTTATGTGGGACATGTGGAGGGTGGAGTCACTGTATGGTTGGAGCAAATATAGAATAACCACTTTCCACTGAAGAAAAGCCTTGTCACCCTGCCCACACTAGTAAAATGAGGGTGCTTTAAAAACCCCCACCCTCTCTGCCAAATCAACCATGAGCGTTTTGAAATCTGCAAAACAGTCTGATCAGAGGAACCAAAAGGAATTCTGTTAAGATCTGTGCTAAACAGACACAGAACTGGGATGATTCATATGTGTCTCAGAGATGCACAAAAAAGTCTTTTGGTAGGTGATAATGTCGACTGAACAGGAGACATGATTCGAAATACACAGTAAATCTCACACTGAGGAATGTAATTCATAAAACTTGGGTTTCTGCATGATGAGCAAGTGCGTGATGTGGAATTTCAAAGCATAGAACTTGCTGAATACAACTGATGAGTGATGAAAACAGAAATTAAGCAGTTTTCATGTTGTCACATAAACCTGATGTATTGGAACTGTCACTATTATTCAGCTTTTTCTCATCTTTTACCATTTCCCAACGATACATAAAATCCATACGGGCACTTTTCCAGTGTAGCAGCAGAGGCTGTATTAGGCTCTTTGGCAAACTGTGCACTTCTTAGCCATTTTCATGCTGATTCAAATATATTTCAGGCATTGAAACCTGTTTTTCGTTGGTATTTATTGGCACCGGGTCAAATATCATATAAATGGTCTAGCTGTCATTTTTCCAGTATTGTGCTTAAACAGGGATTTTTTAAGTTGTTTTTTTTTCTTCCCATACAAAAATAGACAGACCTCAAAGATCTGATGTGGTTTGGCTTTCTGTTGTGTCCTGATACTTACTTCTATAGTGTACCGCCAGAGAGGCCGCTGTACAAGTGTTGATAAAAGATGTGCGAAGAAGAGTTCCAAGATGGTGTTACTGAATACACAAGTGTTGTACTGCTGCTGTGTAAAAGTGTTCAATTAAATAGACTGTTCGGAATATACCCGGTGTCTTTACTCACGGCTATCAGACACTACATTTTCCTGCCATTGCAGTACTTTCTCTGTCAAGTCAGTTTCACAGTGCAGTTTAAAAATAAGTATGAACACATTTCCTCATACACAAACAGCTGCACACATGTTATGGTAATTTTTAAAGTGCAAACCAAAACATGTATGTCTGTACAGTACATCTCTTGATATTTCCCCATTCATGTGTCAATTCATCTTTCAACTGGAAGTCAGCAACTGTTTCATTGTGCTGTGTCAGAAGCATTTTGAAACTTCACTGAAGAGATAAGATGTACTGTGAATTTCTTTTCCTCCGTTTCTTTATTTTGAACACACCACTATGGCTGCGCCCACAGAATGGAAACAAATGTCCATTTTCTCTGCGTTTAGATCCAGTAAAACGTGAAAAGAGCCTCTGAGATGTGGGCACAGGCTTAAACCGTCTGACCGTTACAACCACCAAATCGTATAAAAACAAAACAACAATAATTGTCAAAACTGTGGTTGCTGTACAGTAATGTAAATGCAGAAACAATTTTCCATTCTTGCAATAAAGTCTAGATGCCGCCTGTGAGTTGGCTAAAAACAGTACTGTTAAAATAATGTGAAAATCCTGCTTAGGCTACAGCAAGTGTAACTCAATTTTCAGTTGTTTTGACTACTTTGTGTTTGAATTCTGTTGATGCTTTAGGGCTGAATGAGCCATAAAGTCCCATGAGTTATAAGGCATGTGACATTTGATAAATACTAGGGACTTTCTGTTCAAATACAGTAAAAGCTTTGACTTCCCTAGTTATATTTTTATTGGTCTGCGTTTGTTTTCACTGGAACACACGTTATCATTTTGATTATGACCTCAGTGTATATGTACAGTACTGCCAACCCCTCTACCCAGTCCCACAAGACAACATAAAGCATTACTCCTACCCTAAATTTAGAAACCCATTCTAGTTTGAAATCATTTGAATGTTTCATGGTTTCAGCAAATGAACAAGGCCTTTAGTTTCAGTCAGCCCCCTACAGCACAAACAATGGTTTTGTGGGTGAGGGGAGAGTTTAAGTAAATACTTGGGGCTAGGTCAGAAGGTGGTGCAAAGAAAACAAAAAGATATAGCACTGCTCTGATTCTCGGTGAATAGGTGTCATCCACATTTTTACGTATCGTTTCTTTTTTCTACGTGAAAATACACTCAGTGAAAGAATTTAAAGCCACAAAACTCACTTATGCCATGCTAAAAACACAGCACATGTTTGTTTTTGTTGTTGCTTTATGCTGCTGAGAAGATGACCAAGGCCCTGAACATTATTCTCTAGTGTATGCACTGAGAACTGCTGGAGTCTGAATTAAAATCAAATGAACCAAACACTCCCTGTTACTAAAGAACTGCATAGCTCAACTAGAACAGGCATACTGTAGGATTCTCGAATACAAGATGCGCCACCATTTGCATTCAGAATTAAGGTTTGTAAAAGAACAGTTTCCGAAGCCAGATCTGGTGGGCATACTAACACAAAGCTTCAGTCTTCCCTTACATCAATACCTCCTTTTGTGTCGGCACCAAGCTAGAGCGA